TGTTGCTGGATGCATTTTCAATATGATAATGATTTTATACATTCTCCTAAGCTGAAAATTCTGCAGAGGACAAGTATTCCACCTGACCTTAATATTACTGGGTGCCTGTGGGAGATTTGTAGAGACACTCCCTATCAAACATCACGGCACTTCCAGTAGTTAAAAAAAAAAAAAAAAAGATAGATGTGACAATTTGTTGTGAACTTGTATAGTCAATGCCAGAAGGGCCAGAGCAGTATACTTAAAACAGGACATACTACGTACTAGAATGACTCATGCTGAATTTAATCAAAGGTGTAATCATTTTCACAACCCTTAATTTAAGCAAAAATGCCTAAGTTTCTTATCAATAAAATTGAACAGAAACATTGTCAAAACATCACTGAGATATTTTTTTAACAATAGTGAAATCAAGAGTATTGATTTATTATACATTTTATTAAACTATGAATGATTTGTTTACCTTTGAGAATATTTGGTGTTGTAATGGAGCTCTTAGTACTATTCCTGTAAATTATTAATTTTTTTCCCTGTAATTATTATTATTATTATTATTATTATTATTGACTTGTTAATTTGTTTGTATTAAGGATTATTGTGAAATAGATTTGTTTCATAATTAAAAAAAACTCTCTCTCTCTCTCTCTCTCTCTCTGTGTGTGTGTGTGTGTGTGTGTGTGTGTGTGTGTGTGTGTGAAAATGTGAAATATTTTAATAATCCAGAGAATCTCGGTGATTGTCTGTCCAAACATCACATGGATTTTATTTGTTTTTTTAATTGTTCCTTGCCACAGTTGTGTTTGTCTTGTACACTAGGGGACTAAAGATATTATGTACCATGTCAGAGATGGCCAAACCAGGGCCTGCAGGCCAAAGTTGGCCCATGATGACCTTGGCCCACCATGCCATATCACAATCTTTATATTAAAGTTGACCTTTTTTATATTAAGAATGTAAACTTTAATATAAAGATTGCATATAATGCAGTATAAGCATTTACTTTTGGCCCACAGTCCTTAATCAAGTTTGAGTTGTAGCCTTAGATTTGTTATATATAATTATTATAACATGACTACTTACAATTAACTTTTTAGTTAAACTGCTTAGGGGTAGGCAATATGATATTCTATGAATCACTTATGCAATATTAATTACGCTTGTTGCTGCACCAAATTGTTATAAATTGAACAAAATCTTTACAGGTTTCATATTTCACAACATCACCACACTAATATCTCAAATTACTTAACAAATTATAATAATTATTAAAAATAAAATGATACGACTACTAAAAATGTATATATATATATATATATATATATATATAAAGTAAGATGTACAGCATGTACTACCTTTATAAGTACAATATATGCATGTAAGCTAATATATTCTACACTGTTAAAAAATATTTTTTTCGAAGTTGTATATAGAAATTTGGAGCACGTTTTATACTATTTTAGTCTTTCTACTTCAAAATTCCACATTTAAATTATTGCGTTACTTTCCGTTTCATTGTAATTAATTGAAATTTACAAGCAATTTCTGAGTGAAAATTGTTTACACACACAGTGTATATAGCAAATCTCAGCTGCATGATTATTTTGCATGTTTATATTTTCACAAAATGCAAACTGTATTATCATATACTGTACATGTAGCTCTATAAAATTGGACATATATTCAATTTTATCTACATACATACAGTACATTGATGTATAGTGATATATACTATACATGTCTTGCTTTTGCTTGTACCGTTATAAAATGTCAACTATATTATCGCCAACTCTAATCTCCTAAATTCAACTATAAGGCATTAAGATATTAAGATATTATAGATATTAACTCAATGATTGTCTGTAAACCTGCTTAAAACAATATGTATCGTGAAAAGCATTAAATACGAATGGCAATGCCAACACATTAGACCCCTTTCTAAAAACCTAAAAATGACTTTGTCAAAATAAATTCTGAACGTGCCAGTTATGTACATGTATGTAGGACACATTTGTTAACATCTGTTTCAAAGCTCCTCTTAACAAGATTTGATCATCGTTCCTCAAATGCCATGAACATAATCACACTCAGACGCACATGCACATGTGCATCAGAC